GTCTCTGTCTCTCTGTCTCCCTCCCTCTCTCTATCTCTCTATCTCCTCCCTCCCCGCCCCCTCTCTCTCTCTCTCCCTTTCTCTCTCTCTCTCACTGTTTGTTTTGTGTCGACCTCTATTTTTTTTTTGTTCCGCTTTTCCACCGCCTTCTCTAGTCTATAAATCGTTGCACTGCTTGTCTCAGCATCCATTTCCGGTCGAGATGAGGAAGGAGCGGATGCTGGTTTGGGTCAGATGCGAGGTGTCTCTCTGTCTCTGTGTCTGTCTGTTTGTTTGTGTGTCTTGGGCTGTCTGTTTGTCTTTCTGGTCTGTTTTTTTTATTTTCTCTTTCATTGATTTTATTCTTTCTGTCCTTTTTTTTATTTTTTTTGGTTATTCTCTGTCTCTTCTCTTTATTTTATTTTTTGCTTACTCTCTATTCTATCATCGTCTCTGTCTCTTCCTTCTCTCTCTTTCTTGCTTTCTCTCCTTCCTCTCTCTTCTCCTCTCTCTCTCTCTCTCTCTTCTCTCTTCCTCTCTCTCTCTCTCTTCTCTCTCTCTCTCTCCTCCCTCCCTCCCTCCTCCCTCCTCTCCTCTTCTCTCTGTCTCTCTCTCTCTCTCTCTCTCTCTCTCTCTTTATATCCCTAAAATCGTCAGTCATTCCAAGAAAAAAATTTTTCATTTTTATTCTATTTTCACTTTTCAGATTCAAAGTGTCTCTCCCTTCTTAATTCCGTTTTTTTTCTTTCCTTGTTTTTTTTTGTCTTCTTTTCTTTTCTCCCTTATCTCTTATCGTTTTCCTCGGGGTTTAATGCAAGAGTAATGATGAGGTTGCAGAAGATGAGACGCAATGAAGAACGGTAAATGATGATGGAGACAAAGGAAGGGAGAAGAGGGACGGAGGAGGAAGAGGGAGGGAGGAGGAGAGGGAGGGAGGAGGAAGAGGGAGGGAGGAGGAGGAGAAGAAGAGGGAGGGAGGGAGGTAAAAAGAGGGGAGGGAGGAGGAGAGGAGGAAGAGAGGAGGAAGAGGGAAGGAGGAAGAGAGGAGGAGAAGGGAGGGAGGAGGAAGAGGGAGGGAGGAGGAAGAGGGAGGGAGGAGGAGGAGAAAGGGAGGGAGGAGGAAGAAGGGAGGGAGGAGGAGGAAGAAGGGAGGAGGAAGGGAGGGAGGAGGAGGAGGGAGGGAGGGAGGGAAGAGGGGAGGGAGGGAGGAGAGGGAGAAGAGGGAGGGAGGAGGAGAGGGGGAGGAGGAGGAAGGAGAGGGGAAGAAGAAGGGAGGGAGGAAGGAGAGGGACAGAGGGAGGGAGGAGGAGAGGGAGGGAGGGAGGAGGAAGGGGAGGGAAGGGGGAAGGAGGAGGAAGAGGGATGGGAGGGAGGAGGAAGAGGGAGGGAGGAGGGAGGGAAGAGGGAGGATGCGAGAAGAAGGAGGAGAAGGGGGGGAGAGGGACGGGAGGGAGGAGGAGGGAGAGGGAGGGAGGAAGGAGGAATCCGGGGAGAGGGAGGAGGAGGAGGGACAGGGGAGGGGAGGAGGAATTTTTGGGGGGGAGGGGGGGCAGGAGGCATTTTATCTTCTGTGGATATTCATCAGTAAGTTTTCTCATTTCTGTTGCATTGTTATTGTTGCAAGATCTTGGGTTCCTCCTTTTTTGCTTGTTTGTTGGCCTACTTTTCGAGTTTTCTATTTTCGTTTTTTTTTTTTTCCGTTTTTTTTGTTTTTTTTTTTTGCTTACTCTCCTCCGCTCGTCTTTTCTCTCTT